CAAAGAACTACAACACTAATAATGCATTTCTAATTAAGTAATACAGCAAATTCCAGTAGAGATGAGATTTATTAAATCACCTGGTATGCAAAACTATAAACCCATGAAAAAATGAAAAACTGGTTGAATTAAATACTTGTTAAAAAANTGAAACTCTTGCCAGGATACTCTCTAGTTTATCTAGAAATGCTCTCCCATGTTTTGAAATTATGACACCGCCTTCTTAGCTTTTTACTCTAGAACTGAAATGAGCAAAGAACTACAACACTAATAATGCATTTCTAATTAAGTAATACAGCAAATTCCAGTAGAGATGAGATTTATTAAATCACCTGGTATGCAAAACTATAAACCCATGAAAAAATGAAAAACTGGTTGAATTAAATACTTGTTAAAAAATTGTGTATGGATACATATTACCAAGAGTCCAAAATATAATAGTGGTAAAGACTATACTTCCTAAACAAGTCACAAGTGACAACGTACCTGGACAAGTTGTTGAATCACATCTCGGGCACTTGTAACTTCTACCTCAGTGAGATTTTCTACATGAATCCCTTTCTTAGTATCTTCTCGTATCTACAATACCAGACGGAACTTGTTACTTTTTCCGTAGAGTAGAACTAACATTTTACTATCATTCACATACCACACTTTATGCATTCATTTCAATGCTGAAAAATAGAATTGATCTACGGTATGAACAGAACCATTAGTTCAGAAAGGAATTCCGTGAAATAATTATATGTATATGCCACATTCAAATTAAAGGAATTAAAACAATTGAATATTCATTACAATTGGAAGTAAATGGGGTAGGTACCTTCTTTCATGGTAAATAAAATTTAAAAAAAAAAGTAAAAACAAATAGGTAAACATTTGCTGCTTTATTACATAATACATACAACCATAGCATTTATAGACTGAACATAAATATAACTTCTTTGTTATTGGGCATTTGAACCATTATCCCCACACTTAAAGAACATATTACGAGTATATACTTAAAAAGAAATATTTCACCACTGTATATAAATGATGGATATAAACATGATTATGAAAATACTACATTATATGTAATAGACAGCAGATCTGAAGTTTCAATGCAGTGCAATGAAAAAAGATAAATGGATGTTCTTTACCTGTAAATTGACAACAGAAGGGTCCAAGAGATCAAGAATTTGTTCATTGTATATCTCTAAAAAAGAACACCTGCAAATAAATTTCATCTTCTCCTCCCTGCGTGCCTCCTTTTCCTATGCCAATTTGAAAAGACCAATTAAAGATTAGATTCGACTTAACTTCTCTTAAGATAATTCATGCTCCGGAGTAAAGTAAACCTGATGAAAACTTGTATGCATAAATTGAGAACTTGAACTCGACTTCCAAAAGCATATATGAAAGTATAATAGATGAAGGCTAAGTTGTCTAGGGAGTCTAAGCCATGCACTCATAATGATAATAGGGGCAAAATTGAAAGAAGTCCATTTCCTACACTAATACGGAGTAATACTCATGATCAGATAAAAGGTCACTAGCACACCCTTACCCTATACTTATTGCTCCTATAAGTCCTTTTATATGAACCTCTTAAATAGAACCAGATGGTCCTTTTTTAGGCAAAAAAATTTTTATATGTGAAATATCTTTGTTTTTCCATTGTTTTCCCATAATAAATAGTGTCCATGTTTATTTTTAAAAGTATACATTCACGAGGTAGTACTTATATGTAGCATGCATACCTTTTGGATTCTTGAAAACAAATACTCAAAGACTCTCGGTGTCATTCCACAGTTTACACTATGTCTTCGTGTGCCGCCTTCAATGTCTCCGAGCATTGTATGTGTTTTTCCACTCCCAGTCTATGCATAACAAAATAATCTAAAATTACACACTTGGAGTATTTTGACTTATTCATTGAGAGAACAAAGGCAGTAGCTTCCATATCTGAAAAGACAAATAGGTAACATACTTGGCCATATGCAAACATGCAACTATTGTACCCTTCCACGCAGTTTTCAACCATGGGCACTCCAGCAACTTTAAATAGCATCTCCTGTTTAGTTCAAAACATGAAAACTTTAACATATGAAAAAATACAAGAAAAATAGAAGACATTAATGCAAAGACAAGCACACCTGGGTAACATTTTCATCCGCAATGAGGTCAAATGTAAAGCGTGACTCTGGATGCCCAATCCAAGTAATCGTCTGTGAACTATCTTGCCTTACACATTGACTACGTCCGTACAAAGAAATCTCTGAACCACTTAAGGGGCGAACTCTGATAATGACCTGTTTAAATCAGTTAAACAGAACATGAGTATGAGCAACAGAAGGTCGCTGTTAGTAATTTAAGGCACCCCATAAAAAGTTCCAAAAAGAGTACATATACATATAAATGTTTGTGTGTAGTTTAAAACATATATATAAAGTTTAGAATATCAAATTTTTTCCTGAGTTGCATAATACAATACCCTTCCTCTTACTCCATAAGTTGTAAGAAAACTATTGTTAAATAGTTAAACTACAAAGAACACTACATTTATAAAGAAGTCTTGAAATGAGTAATTAACTATAGTAAATTAAATACCTATAGGAATGAATATATATAAATATCATTTCCTAAATACTCCCTCCGTCCCAAAAAAGGCTCATGATTTGGTTTGGCACAACAATTTAAAAAGTAAAATTGTCAAGTTGAAACTTGAAAGTGATACGGAGAAGAGAGAAAGATACTGAGCAACACAAAGTTTTCCAAAACTGGGAAAAGGGGCCTTTTCTGGGATGTCACGAAAAGGAAATAAGGAATTTTATTTTGGGACTGACTGAGTTTTCATGGAAAAACTTAGGAAGGAGTGAAACGCATTAAGAACTTATCTAGATTTGAGGTGTTTGGTGAAAACTGTCTAATCTGATTATTGGAATTATATCAAATACTCTACTCTCAACACTTGTTATGGTTGACAAACAGGATAATTTTAGAAAGACCTCTAGTCAATCATTCCCCATTTCGTGTGCTCGACTGTTTGTGTTAAACATCAATCATGATAAAATGAACCTCTTTCCTGTGACAGGTTTGCAGATCTGATACAGATAATCTAAATACGGAGTAAATAAAAAACGGGTACAGAACTTTGAAATTCAAATCTATAAAATTTTCAACTGGTAATTCTTAGCTTTGTGTTCCAAGGGAATAACTCCGTACCTTTTTTGGTGGTGAACAGCTACTTGTTATCATAACTAGTTAGCCACCACCATGATCTTAAAATAGTTACTTCCTTAAATACTCATATTCTCGAAAGTACTTGGGGAAAAAAGAGGTTATCAACGCCTTGAAAGTTCATACTCCTATTTCATATTTTCCAAATCGCATTTGCAGGTTACAATTGAATCATTTCTACTCTACCCCTAGAATCTTGACCAGCAGTAATTAGCAGTGGCAGTGGATTGCTGCAAAGAGTACTACTGAAATTTCTTCATAGTCCATTACCCAAATTTACTCAGGATATACAAACAAACAAAATTGGGGGAAATCATCCCAGTTTCCCACGGCAGAAATACTACTTGTGCAAGTTTTAAGCCCAAATTTCTCAGACCTTAAAAGAGATAGTCCGGAATTACTAGAAAAAGAAAAGTAGGCATACAGCACCTGAACATTATGCTCTTTCCAGAACGCAGGATCTTCACGGAACTCAAAACTCCGTGATTGGTTAGAGAACGAGGTTTGTGCACTGTCACCGTCCCAATTCTCGTTCCTCTCCTTGCAAGCTGATTTCAGAATCCGGAGATCCGGCGAGCTCTTGACGGCCGGCATCACGGAAGGTGGCTGTTCTGAGGAACTGTGACTGTGGTCATGGAATCCGAATCTGGATTTCATAGCACTCTGCGGCTCAGATATCAGGGGCATCGTTGACGAGGCTAGAGGACGGGATGGAATTTAGGAGAAGGGTTTGGAGTGAAATAGAAATGAGAGGGGGCGGGGTGTAAATATTCAAATTATAGAATGACTCTGGTCTCATGACCGTTTGATAGATTTGAAAATTTGAATCGAACCCCCACTAGCGAGAATACTCGCGTAAATTTTTGTGGCTATGAAATGGCAAGGACCCGACCCTGTCGGTTTGTTTCAGCCTCTTAATGGTTCAGATGTCTGAATGGTTCAGCACTTAATGGTTCAGACTGTTTGTTTTAGCCTCTTAATGGTTCAGATGTCAAAATGGTTAAGAGATTTGCCTCTGAATGGTTAAGTATTATACAGAGTCTGAATGGTTAAGACCTCTTATCTGAATTGATCAGACATTTATCTCTGAATAGTTAAGCAATATACTAGCTCTTAATGGTTCAGACCTCTTACTGATTCAGCACTTAATGGCTCAGACCTCTTACTGGTTCAGCACTTATCTATTCAGAAGTTGCCAAACAGCCCCTTAGTGTTTTTTATGGGGTTGTTGTTAAGAGCTTACCCGGTGTGATTTTTTTGTACCAGTATTTTGACCGTGTAATGTATGGGGTAGAACAATTTTTTTGTTTTTGTTACATTTCATCGTGACAAAATTTTTCAAATATCAAAAAACATAAAATATATAGAATTGCTAATGAAAATTTTGCTATATACAATATTTTTTGTGAAGTTATAAAGATCACCAAAGAAATGTAAAACTAATAATTTTAACTTTATTTTTACTCTGACTTGTGAAATAATAGTTTAAATTTAACAATAAGTGAGTATCAATTTGGTAAAATAATATTATTAATACCAATGTTTGACATTAACTTTTTTATAATCATAAGTCATAACAAAAATAAGCTATTGAAAATCATATTCTTTGAAACTTTAAGATTAATCTTGTATGAAATGATATAACGTCTAAATCGTATCTCCCGCCCGCACCTAGGACTTGCGACAATCCGGATCTTCCATCATGTCGCACTTAGGGTCCTTACAGCAATCTTGATCTTTCGCACGATTGCTTCGTCTCATTTATATTGTGCATGTAAACCTTTTTTAAGGCTTTATTACAATTGCGATGATGATAATTTGTCACAACTTCCAATGTTTAACCTTGTACTATTATATAATTCGGAGAGAAGGTATATGGTACATCCGATTGTACAAGAAATAAGGTATCTTCGAGTAGTATCCTTTAAACAATAGGGGAAAAAATTAAGCATCATGATTCAACTAGGTTTATAGATATAGATTAGTGCTATAATAACGCCAAAATAAGCAACTCATTCATTACTTTATAGCCCATCTTCTCAATCATTTCCTTCACCACTTGGTAGATTATTGGTTTGCCTGATAAAGAGCACCCGAAATAATGTGTCACTCCACGAGTATTACAAAGATAGGATACATTATACAAGAACAACAACCTAGTAAGGCCCTTTTTGCTATCAGCTTAAGAAAACATAAACACAGGTTATAACATCAATGAAAAGTTAGGGTATATGAAAATAGTAATTTTATATAATAAAAAAACATATAATTTGGACATTGCGGAGAGCTTCCATGAGCAACACAATTGGCATCTAAGAAATTAGTGAAAATCTTGGATTGAAATACTAAACAAAGAAGGATGAAGAAATAGGACCAGAATCAGCCCTCGTTAATGACTGTCCGACGAAGACTAGGGTTCGCCGCAGGTTTGGCTCTGCTTTGCCACCACGAGCTATCGTCCTCCGCTGCTGTTGCAATCGGAGAACCACCCAGCGTCGAAGAAGTAGTCCGTCCCCGATCCGTCTGTCTTCGTGCCCAATTCCGATCGAAATTGCGAGCCCTCCGTCCAACCCGTTGATCGAAGAAGTGGCCGAAACCGCTTTCTTTTTTATCCCCATGATATCCTTATCCAGCCCTCTATCAACATTAAAACTTATCAAAATTATAAGTTGGACCCCATTTTGCTAATATGTTTGCTTATTAGTCCTTTCTTCACAGTCACTCCCCTGATTTTTGATTTCGATTTGTGGTTGACTGACATATCTTTTAACCACGTTGGAAATGGTTAAGAATCTCTACCTTATTATTCTATATCAATATGAATGATTCAACATATCTCCACTAGCGTTTCCATCCCTCTCGTTTTTAATTTGTTAATTTGTTCTTTTATCATATGTCTTAATTCTATTCGTTCAGTTTAGCCCTTTAATTTTAAATTATAACTTAAAAATCTGAAATTAAAAGTTATAATTTTTAATTTGTAAATATTCAATGTAAAAAATTATTTTAATCATTATTTTATAGTTTTTTATCTTTTAAATTTATAATTCATTTTTATTATCATATATTTTTGTGCGACCAAACAACAAAATCCAAATTGAGGTTTTTCATTTCTAATTCCATGGGCTCGATTTTGTGTTCTAAATGATGCATAATTTTATGGTTTTTTATTATTAAGATACGGAGTATTTAAATTAAATGTCAATAAAATCAATACTGACGGATAAAACATTGTTGCTAAAACTATAAACAATACCGACAGATAAATTTTTGTTGCTAATACTATAAACAATACTGACAGATAATTTTTTTGTTGCTAATATTATAAACAATACTGACAGATAAAGTTTTGTCGCTAAAACTATAACCAATACCGACAGATAAAAGTTTGTTGCTAAAACTATAACTAATAGCGACAGATATTACTCTTTCTGTGGGTCAAATAGTTTTTGCCTTCAAAAAATTTTATCTGTCGGTAATATTCTCTTTTTAGCGACAAATAAGGTTTCTGTCGCTAAGGATCTGTCGGTATTGCCCTCTTTTTTTGTAGTGAAACAATTGTACAAAATATTTCATAATTACATCAGAGTAGAATTATTTAAAATAGTGCGGAAGCAATTTGTAAACTACAACAGTATGGTCAACCTATGTGATAAAATCATTTAATTAAATAGTATATTTTAAACAAGATTTAAGGGTTTCATAAACAAAATTTTTTTAAAACCATTTTGTCTTAAATAATCTCATCGTACAAAGACTTTTCAAACTTTTTTTAAAACATCTTTCAACATTTTTTTTGTTTGTAAAAATAATGACTCATAATGATAGTTTGATTTAAATATCTTCTTAAGAACAAAAATATTGATTAACATTATTTATTCACCAAGTGGCTCAAAAATATAAATTTAATTTTAAAATATATTTCAAAGATCACTATCACATTTTTTTATAGATGTTTATAACATTTTTTTCATCCCATAATTGTTTCAAAAACATTTCTATAATGATATTGCACAATCAAAACTGAAATTTGCACTAAATAGGACTAAAACATAAGTCATTTTCTAATGTAGGACTTAAACTTTTTTATTCCCTAAATAGGACTTAATAATGTCTAGTGGGAGAAATAATGTCCAGTAATGATGGACATTTACTTGAATAATGACTAATTGATAATGTCCAAAGGTCATACATTGGGAAATAAAAACATATGATCCTATATTGGAAAAGTCATTATATTTTAGTCCTATTTAGGTAAATTTCTCATTCTTTTATCAAAATCTCTATTTGAGGGGAAACTTTCAATTATAATAACACATAATCGTGGAGAAAAATTCTTTTCTCGACATGATACTTTCAAAAAATTTTGTTCATCAAAATTAATATTTTATTCCCTTGTATATTTCAAGGTATAAAATAATATCCATAGTGTGTAATAATAATTTACACAATCTTTTTGAAATATTTTTTATAGAAAATTTCATAATGACATTTGGCAAACAAACACGCACTTCAATTTTTTTAATTATTTAATTCTTTGCAATAATTCAATGTATCAATGTTCAAAATCAACAAGTATATACTTTTGTATAACCAACTTTCATTTGTAAAATATTTCACAATTCATTTTTTTAATAATATTTAATTATGTCAATATCTTCTATATTTTTTTCCTAAACAAATAACATATTTTCATACAACACAGTAATTTATTAACTATTACCTTCCTGGAGCTGAGATGAAGTAGAGGATGCGGATGCACAATTTTGTAGAAAGAACGAGTTTGATAACATCGACAGTTTGAGATTATGTCCGTATGGATAATGACGTAATTATGGTTTAACCGAATGAACATGACAGGGTCCTGATTAAGTGAGATCACTACGAAATGTTGAACGTTGAGCCTTAGAAGAATTTCGAGGACGAAATTCCTTTAAGGGAGGAAGAAATGTAACGCGCCAAAATATGTATTGATATCCAATAAACATAGTTGCGATAAATCTCATAGAGATAAATCCAATATGTTGGCTAATTGTATGATCTTGATTGGGACCTAAGTACAAACCCAAATTAAGAACAAATTTGTTACAAATATAAACGTTCAATTTGAAATAATGTAATACTCATTCTGAAATAACGTCGTTCTCATTTTCACACATTTATACAATACAATTATAATAATCATTTATGAATAACTTAGTGTTCATTCTGAAATAAAGTGGTGTTCATTCTCAAATTGCAAAGTGTTCATTATATTCTCAAGTAACATATTGTTCTCTTCAAATTTGGAAATATAATTGTATAGTCTAATGAAACTTACATTACTCCAAATTTCTCTAATCAGCATCGACATCTTCCTCGTTGTCGGCATCAACGATAGTTGGACCTCGGGTTTATCAGTTCCTTCCAGATGAATAACGCTTGAATCGTCTCTCCCAGGGTTGCCGCTCTTCCGTGCAGACCTGCGACAAATCGGATCTTCCATCATTTCGCACTTAGGGTCCTTGTGGCAATCCAGATCTTCCGCACGATTGCTCTGTTTTGTTGATTCGTTTTAAGGCTGGTTTTATCCAAAATTGGATACAACAGATTTTAAAATATAAATTGCGCAATTTAGATGATTGATCAATGTTCCTAGATAACATAATGGGTATAACATTCTTCAAATTAAGATTATTTTGTGGTTTGAGATTTACAAACATTTGTTGTCATTTATAAACTCAATTATTATACAATCGTCATTGATTGACAAAATATATGATCACCGCATTGGTTTAGATTATTGAAAAAATCGATTAATCTCCTCATAATAATATGATTATCTTCTCTCAAAATAATTTTTTAAGAAAATATGATTTTCCTTTGCCCGGTTTAATTAAAAAAATTGTGGTCATATAATTATTCTTCATTGTATTAATTTAAAAAAATAGATTACCAATTTTATTATTCAAAAAATATGATTCTTTTACCCCGCATCACCACATTAATGTATATTAGTGAAAAAATATTATTCGTATGTCTTGCATTAATATGATTATCCTCCCTTGTATTGATTAAAATATATGATTCTTCTCTCCCTGCATGATTCAAAAAATAAAAGATTATATTTACTATGATTAAAAAAATCATAGTTAAAATACATTAAAAATTTAATGATTCCAATCATCTCCATTAATTGAAAAAATGAATATGAAAAACAATAGTGATCCAATGATTCAAATAGAAATTTACAAAAACATTTGCTTTTTTTTAGTTTTTTGGATGTAAAATAATATAAGCACGTAAAATAATTCCTTTTTAATTTATTTGACTTAAATACTTGATCATTTAAAAAATTAGTCTATCTTTTAATAGTGTTTTAACATATAAATTAACATATATATTTTATTATTTATTTTACATTAATATTGAAAATAAATACAATAAAACTAACTTCATTTAAGCTTGTCATAAACAAATATGAATTTTTTAGAGGTTAAGAAAGTATCTTTTTTAAAGAAGGGAATATTTTCATTGATAGTTTTATTTTAAATAAAATGAAGAAAAATAAAATTAAAAAAATATTGTGTTTTGTTAATAAAAGAGATGATCTCTATTCCATAATTATATTTACTCAATAATATTGAAGTCATAAAGAGTGTTAGTATAAATACAGTATGTCATGGTGACACTTTTTTGAATCAATTATATTCCACAATATAGTAAAGTTATATCTTTTTTTATAATTTCTTAATGTAGTTTTAAAAATATATTGTTTGGTATTAATTTTACATCAATATTAAAATAAATAGAATCAAATCTAATTTCATCTATATATGACATAAACAAATACACGGGTTAAAATTATTGAGATATAAAAAAACATATTATTTTTTAAATAAGAGTTTTACTACAAATCCAAAGATCAAAAAAATACTATCATAAGAACTTGTGTTTCTCTTCAATAATTTAATTTCCTCAAAGATTTAATATCAAAATATTAAATTCGCATTTTCTATATACTTAATTAGGTGGCATATTAAGTATCAAAAAAATATAAAATTTATTTAAATGTGAAAAAATATTCTATTTTTTCGTTGTAAAATTTTAAATAAACATAATCAAATTAATCTCATGTAAATTTATGAACAAATATAAACTTTATTTTGATGTGAAATGAATATTTTATTTATTATTCTAAATTTTTTTTATAATGAGAGAAGTTTGTAATTTAGATATGATGGATGTCTAAAAGATCCGGATAAATATGGCATATGTTAGTTTCTTAGTGATCTAGCTATCATTTTTATTTGTCTTAATTTTTTATGTGGATTATACTAATAATTTTCTAGTCTAAATATATACTATTTGAAAAAGTAGTATAATAAAAGGTTTGTTGAATATATATTTAGTGATCTAAGTATCATTTTCATATATAAAGAATTAATGATTATTTATTAAATACTATTTGTATTCTAAATATATATATTTTATTTAAATATATAATAATAAGTTTCTTTATATCAAATAGTCTGTATAAATTAAAAAATATGAAAATTAAATTCGAGCTAGATATTAGAAAAATGTTCGCATATACTTGTGATAAAATAAAATTTTATTAAAATTTAAAAATTCTTTTAATTCTAAATTTGGATTCATGGATTCAAAATAATTAATTATCATTTTTTAAAAACATAATAAAAAGATGAAATAACTGAAGAAGGAAGGAGAATAAGATGAAATACTAAAAAAGAAAATAAATCTTTAAATATTGCCACATGTCATTTTCTAAATATTAAGAGATGTCATTCTCTCAAGTTTGACACATGTCATTATCTTAGAGACCAAACTCTCAAATTTATATACAAAGGATTTAAAAAGACTCGTGTGAAATCATTTTTCCCTTTTAAAAGACATTTCTTTATTCAAAAATGCTAGGAGTACACCACAAAGTGTACCTAAGGCTTTTCTATCACACAACTCTTTTTTATATTGGTGGGTTTTGCGCATTTGACAACACAAGGAGTGTGAGCGGGTAAGACCATAGTTCGATTCATGGCAACTGCGCAGGGAGGTAACTGTGCTAAACATATATGACCTCGGCAAATACCAGTTGCAGACTCCACTATTTGCCATCAATCTGCGATACTTTTTTCTATTGTTGCATGAATAATACTCAGGGATAGGGCTCATCCTTTTTCATTATTGCATAAATTATACTTCCTCTGTGCCAATTTAAATCGCCTATTTCATTTAACTATATTTGCTTGAAATTATTTTTAAATCATTTTATGTGAAAAATAATGCAGAATTAAAAAATGAAAATTACATATTTAAAGCTACTACTGCAAAAGATCTAAAAACGAGTAGTGACATAACTAGATTATTTTACCAAGTAACTAATGAAAAAAAGAAAGTGAATGAAGTTTGACCTTATGAATAATAAACGGACAATTTAATTTAGAACGGGGGAGTAGATTTTAGACAATAAATATTTTCTACATTTAAAGACCTTATTTTTAGGATGAAAAACACACTTTCGTAAGTCTCGAATAGACTTTAGGGCGAAATTAGATCTTAATTGGGTAAAACTTAGAACTGAAGTTACTTTTTGGATAAGATTTAATACAAGTTAAAAATGAAAGGAGCGGAATCCGTTCATTCACACGCCCCGTCTCTCTCTCTCTCTCTAAATAGAGAGAAAGAGAGAGTTTCGCCGGTCGGAACACTTGACCATCCATAAATATTTTATACATAAAAAAACTTACTTTTAAACTTTAAGATGGTATAATACACACAAGGGTGAGTTTATGACAAAATTGATAGAGGTAAAAGGCATAATAGTGTTTAAGATTTTATATAATCTTTAATTTGTAACATAAAATATATTATTATGTAATACTTCGGGGTATGTATTTAGATTGTGATATTTTTGTAGAAGCATCCATATTTTGTAATATTCGGTTATTTTCAAACCGATTATTTAGTTTTCACAAAGATTAAAAAAGTAGTGATATTGAAAAGATGTTTAATATTTCAAAAAAAATTTAAATGTATCAATGATTAGCTGATTTTCTTATTTTACTTTTTTATGTATATATGAATCGTAATAGTTTAAAATTATTAAATTTTGTAATAATTTTAAGTTTAATTTAAATTAAATTGAAATTTATTTACACCAGATCTAATTAGATAAAATCAGATCCAATCAGATTAGATTCAATCAGATCAGATTAGACTAAATCAGACAGATCAAATCTAATCAAATCATGTTAGATCAAATCAAACCCAATCAGATCAGATCTAATCAAATCAAATTTCATCAGATTAGAGGATCAAATTCAACCAGATTAAGCATACGGAACATAATCTAAACCCCCACCCCGTCCGAACCTGAACACACTCACCACCTCATTTAGGGATGTAAACAAATCAAATATTTGATTTCGATTCATCATTCGTATTCGAATATAATGATTCGAATTCGCATTATTCAAATACAAATTCAAATTCAAATATTTTTTTTGATTCGAATATTAAATAAATATAAATACAAATAGGGATATATTCGATTCGGATGATATTCGTATATTCGAATGTATGTATATATACACAGACCATGTCTTCAACATCAATAGTCAAGCAAACTAATATAATATAAAGTGTATTTAAATTACTAAGAATTCGACAAATTAACGTAACCTGAAAATCTAAAATATATAATTTTTAATAGTTATATTTTATAAAATATAATTTGAGTAAGATGTATTAATGATTTTAGATACGAAGTATAGTATAGTATAAGGAGTATCGTAAGTTAAATTATAAATCGATGTTGGTCCATATGATCATTCAAATATTCATTTAGGATTCGTTAACTATTCAAATATCAATCAAATACATATTCAAATATTATTTTGAATTCGTCTCATATATAGATTCGCATTCAAAAAATTAAACAAATACAAATCCAAATATTTTAGTATTCGCTTCGTTTCGATTTATTTACACCCCTACCCTCATTTATTGCACCCCAATTAGACCAATTGCTACGAAACGTTATACCCAGCGATAATTGAGGCCCAATCTTTCCTTCTCCCGCTTCGCATCTCCCAGCCTCCGAGTCTCAGGGTTAGGGTTTTCGCTTAGCTCCTATTCAACTTTCAATTGCTCTTGTTGTCCGATTATTCAGCGGTTGATATGGGTAAAAGAGAAAGAAAGCTGAAAGCGAACCCATCATCGCCACTATCTGAAGATCAAACTAAGGAATCTGAAGCAGCCCGCGATGCAATGGGCAGCGACGATGATGCGGAGGCCAATGAGGATCTTAGTTTGAGAATCGTTGAAACAGCCAGGCAACGCGCCAACGCCTTGAAAAATGGCGCCGATATGGAGCATATGAATGTAGACAGCAAGAGGAGCAAGCAAGAGAATAATAAAACGAATAAGAAAAAGGGAAGAGACCACGAATTCGAGGAGAAAAACGTCATTGCGCATGACTTACCTGTAATTATCAATTCTTGTTGCCATTTCATTTGCTGAAATTTGCTTTTGACTTGGGCTATTTGGATTCATCGTTCAGGCTCCTCGTGAAGTGCTTAAGGCTTGTGAAAACTTCTGCAGCAGCGTAGTCGGGGTAAATTTCAATTTAGAATGTTTCTGTGTTATGTTGTTGCCTTGCTCTTCGTCTACTCTAATTATCCTTAGAACTGAAAGGGAAAAAATTGCTCTTATATTTTTGGCGTCTAAGAAGGTTGGAATAAAGAACTTGCTTGTCTTGACACTTCAAAGTGGTTATTTATTAAATTATTATTTATTTATTTATTTGCATACATTCCATGAGAAGGGTATCTGAGACACACATCAACAAAAACATTAAGTGAACAACACAATCAAACACAATCCTAAATTCCCAACAATGTTGGGGTCTAGGGGGTTAAGATGTACACAAGACATAGCCCTTGATGCATTTACTACCCAATGTTTCATAGAAAGTAAGAAGTAAAGGAAGTTAATGAGTCAATTTGATTTAGTCTGTTATTTATCTAAATCTAAAACTAAAACATTGCCAAATATGACAATCACTCTTTTAGCTTCATTGGCATTGCATTATTAGCAAAATTATGTTCAATAACTCTAAGTCTCTCTTAAATTGCATTGGAGAATGGAGTTGTGAGGAATATTGGCAGGAGTGTGTAAGGTTCATGCCCAATGAATAACTCTATCTGTCCTAAAATGAAGTTTACACTTTCATTTTTTAGATGTCCTAAAATGAAGTTTACAGTTTTTCACTTTGTGGAGCTTATCGTTTCTCTCTCTCTCTCTCTCTCTCTCTCCTAAATAAATTTCAACCACACATTTTACTTTTCACCAAACACCTTTCACATTCCAACGCTTTTCTAATATTTTGTGAAGTCAAAGGGTAAAATTTATTTTAGGACGGAGGGGAGTACCATAGAAGAAAGTTCTTTGCATCTTTTGAATTCCCCAGCAAACTTGGACTGCTGTAAGTTAAAGATAACACCCGGCTTCATGTAGTCTGGATTTGTTCTCTTGTTTGTCCAACGACAAAGTTTTGAAATAAATATGAATATGTTTCTCATGTACCTTATGACCTTATCTTTGTCAAGAATATATATTTAGTAGTCTTCACCAAGTTAGCTCAAAGGTCGTATCAAAGTGTTTCTTGAGCATGCAAGTCTTGTATTTACCTGTATAATATACACGTAGGTGCTTTGCTTGCTAGAAGGATTTACATTTATGTAATATCTATAAAGCTCTTGTTATTCAATAGAAAGAAAAAGATTTCTGCAGTGAATGAATGAGTTAAAAGTTTAAGGTTGTGTTTTTTCTCCGGTTCTTGGTGTGTTCCTGTTTGCTCATTCAATTGGGAATCTAGCAGCTCCATTTTGCAGATGTTAGAAATTATTGTAGTTTTTCAGCCACAATACCTATCTTTTTTCAAAATGTTTTCAATTATATTGTTTTGAAAAAGACCTACTATTATCCTTCTCTGAAGATTCTTCTACTTTTTAAAACAATACCCTTATTAGTTATCTTATATTACGACAACTACAACTCAAGCAAACACCGAAAGTATAGAATTTTCTGAATAGCTGTCTTACCAGCAATTAGTACAACTACAGATGCAAACAACTCAAATAAACGTCCCCTAAGCTTGCAATAATTGTGTTATTATTCCATTACAATTGATTTTTTTTATTCTCTCAGGAGGATAGGAAGGAAGATGATAATGGAAGCACTATCAAAACAATGGAGAATGTCAACAACATTGTTGAAACAGATCCTTCTGAAATATCAGATAATGTAGTCCTGCGAAAGCTTCTTGTGAGTTGAAGTAATGTGGTTTGTAATAATGTACTTGCCAAAATGCAAGTAATATGTTTATGCCTCAGTGATATTTTGTTACCGTTATTCATCATCTCATTGTATGATCACAGCGTGGACCAAGATACTTTGATCCCCCAGATAGTACCTGGGGAACATGCCATAATTGCGGTGAAGAGGGTCACATGAGTGTCAACTGCACTGTGGCAAGACGCAAGAAGCCATGTTTTTTGTGTGGCAGTTTGGAACATAACATTAAGCAGTGTACGAAGGTTAGTAGGATAATGATGTTATTTGATCTTTCCCTTTATAAGTCAAGAAACTAAATGTTAGGTATAACTGTCCACATCCACATGTCCCATTTGGTTATCATTTTTAAATTCTACGTGTCAGACTGTTTAATACTTGTTTGGCATGCATGCCTACTGGTTTACTACAGTTCTATTTAATCGCAGGGCCTAGAAACAAATATACTGTAGTAAATTGTATTTTAAGAAACAATCTTTTTTTGTGGTGAAAACAATAATCTTTCTGTGTAGTAATGCATATGTATTGCACTGTATGACATCGTATAAATGGAATTCTTGCAAACTGTCTCACTATATCTGTCTTAACTTGATGCTGATCATCGGTAATTGACAAGAGAAGGGGGTTTTCCTATCTCTTTTTTTCTCAAATGGACATAGGTCCTGGATGGAAATGTATATTTGAGAGTTTGCTGTATGCATAGAGTCAACTAACTAGCCTTTGATAGTAACTTTTGTTTGCATATCTGATGTCTCCAGAATCAGGAAATATTCTAGTGTTAAATGCTGTGTTTTATGGCAGTAGGTAATATTGTGATATGCTTATTGCTGAACTACTGAAAGAATTCAGTGTTAAGATTTTGTTGATTATTATTACTTGTTGAAAGTGCATGATTCTTTTATAGTGAAACATTTGTACGTTGGTCACATTTCTATCATTGGACAGGGAAAAGATTGTTTCATTTGCAAGAAAGAAGGTCACCGAGCAAAAGATTGCCCTGAGAGAAACAATGGAGGTTCTTGGAATTCTAAAATATGTCTAAAATGTGGGGATTATGGACATGATATGTTTTCATGTCACAACAATTACCATCCTTACGACCTCAAGGTCAGGGTTTCTCTATATATGCATTGCTCAGTATTGTGGCATCATTCATTGAGTAGCTTTGTTTTTATGCTCACATTATTGATATCTCTTCTTGTTGTTGTCTTTGGCAGGAGATACAATGTTACATTTGCAAGAACTTTGGCCATCTCTGCTGTGCTGACTATCCTGATGGTCCAAGCGAAGTTTCCTGTTACAGATGCGGTACATCAGGCCATACTGGTTTGGTTAGTATCTTAAGTGTAAATTTGCTACAAAAGCTTCTAGAAAGGTTCTGCTACTCATATTGCAGCCGGAAGCTGCCAAAAGTGTGTTTTCTTGGCAGAACCGTAGATGATGATAGAGTATCTTCTACTCCTGTCCCACTGTTTTTGTCCCTTTTTATCCTTTTTGCTTTGCCCCCATGGTTGTTTAGTTGACAAGTCGAGTCAAGTCGGTGAAGAAGAGACTAGTGGACTAGTCGACGAGTCAGCCTACTAGTCGTAAACTAGTCGACAAATCACATTTAGTATTGAAATTGTTAACATTATATATATCTTCATTGACCCAAGATAACTAATATTTATATGACAAAATATCATTACCAAAACAAAATTATGTTTAAAAGTAGCACATAAAGTCACACAACGGAGGGTTACATAAGAAACAAATATTCTTCACTCTTCAAAAGCAACACACCACCAAAGATAATAAGCACAAGGAGAAGTCACCACCCAGAAAACGACTAGACGACTAGTCGGCGACTTGATAACAATGTTTGCGCCATTCCATATTTGGTTATATCTGTGTTGTTTAAATTCATTCTTACTTTCTCTTACTTTTTAACATCAATATTAACCACACAATTTTACTTTTTTCAATTTTTGTGCCACTTCCAAATGTCCCAAAAATAGTGGAATGGAGGGAGTATGAGTTTTCCTTCAACATGATTGTTGAATAGTGATGTTTGTCTACGTACTCTGTATCTTGTCAGATACTCCTATTTAGTAAGTTGATGCATATACCTCTAACGTTCCCCTCTGAGCCCATGTTCTATTTGTTTTTTAAAAAAAATGCAGGCATGTTCTGGAAATTGGGGGGAGAGTAGTGGAATGGGATCGCCGTATACATGTTACAGATATGGTGAAGATGGCCATTTTTCACGGGAGTGCACTTATAACAGGGTATTTTCTAGTCTTTATCTCCAATTCCAACTTGTCTATGCTATTAGTGGTGAGATCTGATTTTATTACTTTTCTATTACATTGCTTCTTTATTAGGGCGGTAATAAAAGGAGCCGTGATTTATCAACACCCAAGAAGAAAGCATCTAATCACATGAAGGAAGAGCATATTGGATCCTGGTCTATGCCCGGTGATTTTGTCAAGACACGCAAGAAGAAAGAAAAATATGAAGATTACTTTACACCAGATCGTAAAACAAAACGAAGGGGAGGTTGGATCATGGACGATGACCCTGGGGATTTCTCAGGATACAATGATAGTTGGAAAAGTCATGCTTCTAGCAGTAATAAATCTTGGAAATGCAGCAACGGTAACACCAATGGCCATGCTTCCAATCCATGGTCTCCAAGAAAGCCCCGTACGACTAACTTTAGCCATTCTCATTCATCCGGTTCGTCCAAACACACCCATCACAGGTTTTCGGCCTCCAGGTTTGGGGACTATAGTCACGGCGAGATGAGAAACCGCGATTGGTAGCAAAAGGTCTATTTCTTTTGGCCATCATGAAAGATATAGCCGTTGTGTGCTGCACACCATCATGGTCAGTGCTTGTTTTAGGTGAAAACAGAAGAAACACTAGGCATGGCTGACCAGAAATCTGGACATTTTATTAAAGATTAACTCCCACCCTCTTATTCGATTCTGTTTGTTTTTTTTAAATTTATTTTATTGGGTCCAGGCAATTGTAATTTATACAGTAGTTTTCGGTTTTAACGTCTAAAATGGGAGTCACTTTTGTCCCTTATTTTCATGTTATATATATCAATCTACGGTTGTAGCCATGCGTGTAACATTTGTATCGTTGAGGAGCTTTGCTTGTAGAATAAAAAATGGTTTACTTTTGCCCAGTTTTCAGATTATGATGGGATTTGGTATCTTTTAGAGTCAGTCTTAAAGTATTAAACGTTTTATGGGAGCAAAGATTGGATAAGAATGGCACCTTTTTCATCAAAAAGGAAGGAAATAGAAAAAAACAGTTTGCCAGCGCAAGAAAGGGTCATATGCTATGCTATGCTGTAAACAGTAATGTGTGGCTATAGTACATTTGTACTTGCGTACTTGGACAGCGATGGGGGTTTTATTTGGTAAGAGGAAGACAATATGGTCCTGCCAAATGAACATATTACCCCTCTGAGAGTACACATACCCTTTGGACCCTCTACAGGAATTGTGTGGCTTGAAGCCGCCTAGGACTTCTAGTGATGAGCTTAAGGACCGGATTTGTCCTTCAACGGATTGGTGCTATACAAAAATCTTGCCTAACCAGTTCTCTGTGTCTTTCCTTATTGTAATAATAAATGGAGTTATAAATTATTTTATCCTAATATCAATTCTTCTATCAAGAAGTTATATTCTCTAATAATAGAACAAAGAAGAGTTGGTACTCCTTATATATGGGGAAACAACAATAATTCAGTTGAATCTCACAAAGTAAAGTCTGTGGAGAATGTGTGTACAAAGAGACCTTGTTAATACCCGAGAGTAGAAGGGCTGTTTCAAGTTGCACATAAAAAAGGGTCACAGTGGATACATGAAGCAAAGAAAGCACGGGTACAACGAAAATAAAACACCAAGCACACACCACTAAACTAAATTAAATAAATTAAAGTTACAAAACAAAGGTATTGCAAGCACATAGCAAAAAGCACCAAGCATAAAAGGCCTACAACAACAACACCCCTAGCTTAAGGCACCTACCCAGCTACTTTAATCATATCTCTCTAAACGCTTTTATTTAAGGCAATATCTTCAGTGAGAGTAAGAAGTCCTAGGTCCTCTCTAATCAGCTCCTTCCAATACTTCCTAGGTCTACCCCTTCCCCTACTTATATGAAATGATAGGATTGTGAGAGTTGCTTGTGGTTAATATGATACTATGTACTCCGTATTTTTTTTGCGGGGAAAATGTTTATTTTCCTCATGTATGTTTAATTTTTTTATAAGAACTAATAATTCTATTACACAAAGTATTTGGGAGAACTAGTTGGACCACATTATGTTTGTATTTATAATCTATACGTAGCGGAGTAAATCTGTTTTAACACCAAACTTTAATATCATGTGTTTTATATACATGTACCGTCAATAATGAATAGTCTACACATGATGTTAAACTTTGGTGTTATAATTGGCGTGACTATAGTATGATCCATATATCTACTTAAGAATTCATTAATATTCTGCATATTATTGTGATATACTCCATAGACGAAGGAGCTTGGGGGAGAGGCGAAAGAGGGGCAGATTAGGTAGAGGGGCATTTCATCTTGCATACCCTGGGAAGAATACTAGCCTAGAGATACCTCTGTACACTACGTCAAAAACAGATGCTGACAACGGTTTCTTATAGTAGTCTCATGGTGCTGATTTCAGTAGTCTTCCGAGCAGCTGTCTGATATATTTACAGACTACTGTTTAAAAACAATTGTGTAAAATGGTTGACGACATCTGTTTTGTAATGTTTTAGAGTACGACTTTTTAGTGTTTTCCTTGTATGAGTAAGACATCTGTTTTTTAGAGTTAAAGAAAACTGTGATTTTTTGTTGTCTATCTATAATAAATACTACTGTTGTTTTTAACTTCAGACTTCTAATTCTTGGTGTTGTCGTTCAAATATATAGACATCTACTTTAAAAAGTAATTGAAAGATATATCAGACTGCTGCTCGGAAGACTACTAAACAAAAATAGCATGAGACAACTGTTATCTTTTGTTGTATTTCTAGAATATGGACTACTAACATTATTCTTATTCAAACTACTGTTTGTTTTAGTTGTATATTGATTATTAACACAACGGTGTTTTGTAGTTTTTCTTGAAGTATTCAAACTATTTTTTATAACAGTAGTTGAATTGTTTATCAGACATCTACTCTAAAGATTACTAAAGAAATTTGCTTCAAACAACTATTATTTCACGTTGTATTTTAAATATATTAACTACTATTTTTGTGGTATTTCAAACAACTGTTTGTTTTGATTGTCTAAATGTTATTAACACTACGCATTTGTGTAGTTGTACATATACTTTTCAAACTATTAGTTTGAATGGTAGTTGAATTTTTTATTAGACATCTGTTATCTTGTGTTGATTACCAAATAAATATAAATTCAAAAATACAATATATTGAACAAAAATTCATACATTTAAAATATTATTAACATATAAGAATGTAATATTTACATCATCTTCCTTACAATTTGCATAATCTACATGCCTGCCTCTTTAATCCATCCTATTCCTATGGTACACGTTGTTGCTCCTACAGAGGAACAAGTGAGGAACCCAATCCTTAAGAATCTTTGTACATTGAACTTGAATCTCCCACCTGCCAGCACAAAGCCAATAAATCCTGAAATGATCGTTGTGAATCAAGAACAGAACAAGAACACACCTGCAAAATGGTGATCTGGTTTAGTAATACTCACGGAAAAATCCAATACGAATCTGATATTGCACTAATCAGCTAGTTTACTATGTCCTACTCTTCAAATTTAAAACAAAGTACAGCTGGTATTAGCTTCTCTTAAATACTTTAAAGAAAGGAAAAAAAAAGTGTGTATATATGTGTGTGTGCGTGTGTGTGTGTGTGTATACAAAGTCCTTGGGAATTAGCAACTATACTAACCTGATGTAACCTTCACAATCGTACTCCAAGGATAGCCAAAAAAACATATGAAAAACATTGACAAATAGCAATAGTAACTTGTGGTAATCTTCACAACACTAGAATTCAATTCAAATTCATCCAACCAACAAATTCAAATACCAATAGCATGTCAATGCACGTAGTGTGTTACCTAATCATAGGACAAAAGACACACCTCTATGGGAAAAAGGGCCACCAAAATGATTTGTATACAGCCTGCTGCATTCGATTCTTGAGCCGCTGAAGCATCTTTCGTAGTTTGGAAATCCTTTTCTTTGACCAGAATAGATAGAGGATGGTCTTGAATTATGATTTCTACATCATATTTTGACTCATCAAATGCCATGTGAAATCAAACTTGCAATGCATGAAGATGACCCTCGATTCACCCAAACCGGGTGACAAAGACGGCGTTGGCGAACGAAACCTGGCGAAGTAGAAAAGATTGAGATGACCATGAAGAAGGAAATCTCGCAAACTGAGTAAGAGAGAGCGCAGATCTAAATCAAAACAAAAAGGATTGCGTAAGTGTCATATCTACCCAGGGTTCCAAAAATTGTGCAAAGAAGAGCCACAAAATAATGGAAGAATTGAAGGGAAGAAGGGAGTGGAAAGTAATTTGAGTTACTGCCCAGCATTCTTACGCCCTAGAGAGAGAAACTCCCATCTACTCCTTACCTGAGTGAGGCTCAATGACTTTGCAATGCAGGTTGTGTGGACTCATTCTTACTGCACAACATTCTTAAACAAATTCATTTGGTTCGATCAGTAAGTTTACCAAAAGGTTATCACTATTTCACAATAACTTTATAAATAATAAGCTTATCATCAAAAATGATTTTGTCTATTGAGAAATCAAATAGGCCCTATGTCAATTGCATAGTAAAAATATTTCAACTAGTAAAAACAATTTTCAAGAACATAAACAAACATGACTAAATTTGCTATTCTGACTATAGAAAAAAATTGAGTGTAGATACACATAAACAATATCATCCATTCACTAAATTGGAAAATGAAGTTGATTTCTTTAGATTAAATCATACAGTAAACACAAAAAGGGGAGAAATCTAGTGGTTTGTAACCCAAGAACCAGCACAATTCCCCCACAAACAAGAACCATTCACGCACAGAGAAAGCACAAAACAGCAGCAAAAACAGATTGTTAAATAGTGGAATGAGATTTCATCCGCTTGCCACTGTCCACTACCTTACCCCTCTGGCCCCAAGTTGTGTAATCACCAGAGGGGCAATGGACTTGGCTATATTGCAGTAATACCATTCAATCGAAAATACAAGAGCAATACCAACACAAACAGGTCCTCCATAATAAATTCAAAACGAACAAAATAAGAATCCACAAAGAAAATGCCCAACAGCACTTCAATGACCAGTGCAAATCGAGCAAAAATGTCACACAATGAACAGTGTTTGCATTCTAAAAAATCCTCAAATGAAATGGATGTTCAAATAGTTGGGGAATCCATCATCATACCTTGATAGAGGAACCCAAGTCGCTTAGAATATCAAAGAACTAGCGATCAAACATGCCTGGATCGATTTAAAACGAAGTCTCAAAATCGCAGATGAATAGTAGATTCTTCGGCGTTGACCTTCAATTTTCCAGAATCCATCTTCAAAAAACACCGATTCAGCTCTTATATGGATTCGCTTGCTGAAGGAGAATCTAGAGCTCCAAGAATCAAAAGAAACGAGCTAAAATCCAGTTGGAAATCGGAAATGGGATGAGCAGGTGGGTTTCTGAATGAAAGGAATGAAATTGGTTTCTGAATGAGGGTTTCTGAATGACGATGTGTAGGGGTGAAATTGGAGGCGGGATTAGTAGGGTTACGTAATTTTGGCCAAATTTTCACTCAAAAAAATCTAGTCCCCCCAAATTTGCATAGGTTATCTAAAGTGAAATTAGAGGCGGGAGAAGGAGGGATCATTTTGTCCAAATTTTCAAAAAAAAAACTAAGTTCCTCAATTTTTGTTTAGGTTCTTAGGTATCATTTTAAAAAAAATACCCCGTAGTATTTTTTAAAAATTGATCTAGTTTGAATTTTTTTTCTATACTTTTTTTCATTTCAAAATTTTGAACTAATTTTTTTTATTATGACAAAGGTTCCAGAGTACAACAACATAGCATACCGCTGGTCCGGGGGCGACTCAGCCCCCCCGGACCCCAGGCAAGGGGGCGTCGCCCCCCTTGACCCCCTAACTCGCTGATCGGGCAGCGAGAACCCCGTTTACTAATTTGCATAGCGGCACCACAATACAGATTCAAGGCATATTAACATTTAATTTCATTTGAACAAAAAATTATGTATTCAAAAATATTGTATTTCAAAAAACATAGACAGATAAGATTATACCAAATCAGATAATTGCATCTCAGTTTAACATGTTTATATGTTGTTTAGATGATATCTAATCAAATCATATATCATCAAATAAGATTTAATCAAACCAAAGTAAAAGAGTTTTAAATACGGAGTATAATGTACCGAACTGAAAAGTGAGTTTATAAAAGTGAGTTTATAAAATCAGATGTAATCTAATGCATTTAAAGAAGATTAGATCAGACAAATACGACACAACCTATAGAAGTGAATAGATTTTCTTTGAAGATTTGATATGATCTTATGGGATTTGAATTTGATTTGATTTGATAAGATCTGTTTTGCTCTGATTCGATCTAATTAGGTCCAATCTGATGCATTTAAAGATTATATGAGGCAAATAGGACACAACCTACACAAGTGAATATATCTTATTTAAAAATTTGATCTGATCTAATTGGATTTGAATTTTATTCGATCCGGTTAGATCTATTTTGATCTGATTCAGACTAATTAAATCTAATCTAATGTATTTAAAGATTAAATCACTAGTACTGATAACAGAACAAGGTAATTGCACAAATCCAATTCTTTGAAATACTCATACTTGATCGTATAAGATGTTACAAGTATTGATAACTGAACTTGTTACTAACACTGATCCAATTCCTTAGTATTGATAACTGAACTTGTTACTAACACTGATCCAATTCCTTACTAACACATAAAAAAATTATTTTTAAAAACAACATCGAAAACTCTATAAAATAAGAGGTGACAAAAATATTTTATTTTATCAAATAATCAACAAATTTACATATAATTTCACTCATATCAGATTAAATCAGACTAGATCTTAACATAATAAATCAGACAAGATCAAATCAAATAAGCTATCATCAAATTACATTAAATCGTTGTTGGAAGAAACTGGAAGGACATAGAAAAAATGGGAAGTTTTCCCTCTTTTCAATTTCATTCCCCCTCTTCATAATTATCACCAAATTCATTTCCCTCTTCCCAATTTCATTCCCCCTCTCCCCAATTTCATTTTCCTCTTCCCAATTTCATTCTCCCTCTTCCTAATTTGGTTTTTCCTTTCAAAGAACACCACTCACTCACTCAATAGCCCAACCTTAATCGCCATCACGCCTGTGTTGTTCGAGAGCAAAGGATTCCCCGATTCGCCGAGATCCTTCGCCGTCAGTCCCAGCCATCGCCAATTCGCCGAGAGCCTTCGCCGTCAGTCCCACTGCCCAGCGCCGACTGCCCAGTCGCCCACTGCCCAGCACCGCGTCGCCGACTCCCTCAATCCCAACTGAATCAGGTACGGTACTCATCTCGCCTCCCTCGTCTCCTTCTCTGTAATCCCTTAGCAAAATTGTTTTATTCTTAGATTTTTTCTCCAAAGCTGATTGTCTATTGTTTTAAAAAAACAATTATGTCAATTGTTACTTTGGTTTCTAAGTTTGGGTATTTGCTAATCAAGAGTAAGCTTTTGTTTCTATTTCTTGTTTAGATATACTCTTTGGGTTTACACTTTTTGAGGGATTTGGTTTGGTCCTCTCCTCTTGTATTCTTCTTTCTTTAATTCAATAAGAATTGATGTTTGGTCTTTTTTGCCGATTTGGCTAATGGCCAGTTCTGAATCCAAATGTGAGTTTGAAGTAGCATTTGATGCAGTGGTAGCTTAGTGCTAGAGGGGCAATTTCTAGGCAAAGTTGGAGATGGTTCTTCATGGAATGGTTCTTTGGTGTGTTTGGAAGGCATACAATAGTTGTTAGTATGATGGTCCAAAAATCTGCACTAGGCAAGTCCAGTACCAGTAGGTCTTCTATCTGGTCTATGTTTGGTGTTGGTTAAACAAGAAGAAGTGGTTTGTTTTGGAGCTGATGATTTGTAGGGGGTGGAGATTGGATAAGTTTTGGTTTATGTGGCTTTAATGTCTAAAATGTTTTCTTAAAATCCCCACCTGTTCGTTCATGTGATTGTGGTACGGTCAGTTATAAATGGGAAGTACACCATGCGCGATAAGTCGATAACTACACAGGTCTATATACTATGCTGTTAGGGGATTTGATTGGTTTTTCACTGCTTTGAGATTAGAACAATTTACAAATGCTACACAGGTCTTTGTAGTTATCTTCGTGCACCCTTAAAGTGGTTCACTAAAAGTTAGTTTAACAGTTACTGTTTTTTAAGAGAGAACAAAATTAAAATTTAGTATTTGAAGGAGAGATTGAGGTGAAATGACATTATTTTGTTGATGTCCTTTTATCAATCTCAACTGTGAAGAAGAGATAATTTGAGGGAGTTATTCTATAATAAAAGATTATGTCGTTTTAAAACTTATTTCTTGGTAAATGAATTGAGAGTTGCTGAAAATTGTTGTATGCTTCAAGGTAACAACTTGCTTCTGTTTTTGATGTGATCTAGTAGCAGGACTTTCTGGTTTGTAATTCTTTAGGTTGCTTGCAGTCTCAACACAAACATGACAAACCATTCCCAGGAACTCCATGGTTATAACAAATAGCTGAAGTGGCTTCCATGAGTTACTGTCTGAAGCTCCTGTTTGATGGTAATCTAATATCCTCTTCACATGCTCCATGACTCTTGTATGTGTGCCCTTGTTGCCTTTATCTCCCGTTCAGCAGTATCTAGAAAAACTTCTATTTTTGTTGCAATGAGTTCTTAATAAGTTTTCAGCACTTGCAAATAGATTTATCCTGATATGCTTCCTCGTTAATTCAAGGTTTTCAAAAGCATGTAAAAGTGAGATCATGAGCAAACCGACTAAAATTTTCACTTCGTGTAGATGAGCATGGAGGAGATAGAGATATAAGATGGTGGCAGAGTCGTATGAAAAAGCTTGACGATCATTATGGTATGATGTTTAACTGTTTTGAGTTGTTTTAGATGCCTTTTATTAATGGCTAAATTGAATGTTTTAGATGCCTTTTTTTAATCAATGAAACCTATCATTAAATACCGTCAAAAGTAAAAAAAATTAATTAAAATTTTCAGGTTCTCTAATCTCAACAGGAAAAGATGCAACCGATCTAATTAGACGACAATGTAAAGCATATGAGCCCATGTTAATGAGAAGCCAAAGCTCTAAAATTTTCATCCTCCTTATTATGATATGCTGCAAGGGAACATGCACATTTGGTGGCATCCATTTCAGCAGTCTTGTAGTCTTTAATTTGATAAATACGGAGTATCCGCTATTATAAGGCATAGCGTTTTTTATGAATCCTTACACAGCGGATATTTAACCGCTGTGTAATCATGGGTGTTTTTTCTTTACCATTACACATCGGATATTTAACCGGTGTGTAAACATAAAACCTCTCCCACCGGCTACATGCACAGCGGTTGGTTTCCGCTAGAAAAGGTCAAATTTATCCGCTGTGTAATCCATGTTTTGTAGTAGTGGTACTCTTCATATTTTGTTTCATGTTGGTGTTGTTTTTCATTTAGTGGGAAGTACATACTCAATTTTGGTCCTCATGCCTTTACCATGGTTTTGAAGAACAATTGGGAAATCGGAAATCCGCTGAAATAATGTAATACTCATTTTCACACAATTATTTAATACAATTATAATATTCATATACAAGTAATATAATGTTCATTCTGAAACAAAGTGGTACTCATTCTAAAATAAAATAGTGTTCATTCTCAAGTAAGTACCATTCATTCATTTCTCTTACTTTAAGATCAATCTCCAACCCTTCTTCTTCTCCCTCACTCAAACGCTGAATTATTTCGGACTACAAGTTTCTATATCAGCCACTTCCCCATGAACCCTTCCATCTGCTATACAATCACTTTCCCCACTATTACATCACCATCACTATCTTCACCATCATCTTCACCATCACCTTCTTCTTCCCGCTGCTCTGTACTATCTTCGTTTCCCGCACCTAGGGTTTGATTTGATCGCGCTCCACTTGATCGGTAATTTTTTCCGACTATACGGTTCTTCCCGTACAGCCGGCTGATGATATAATTTGTGCATAAAACCTTTCCTTTTTGACAAAAGACGTGTCTTTAAAATGAATAATTTTGGTGTTATTTTCTAATTATGACTCATCTATTCTATACATCTCATCATACTTTATTATAAAATAAGGACAAAATTAAAAAAATAACACCAAACTTTGTTATTTAAATGGTGCACATTTTAAAAAAAAAGGTTTTATGGGGTGGAGCCGTGGAGCCGTGGAGGGAGTAAATTCCATTAATATATTGAAAAATCGTATCTGTAAAAAAATTATTTTGATAAGTGTACGATTCTCTAATATGAAATTTGCACTAAATAGTACTAAAATTTTTGTCCTTTTTCAATGCAGTACTTAAACTTTTTTATTCTCTAATTAGTATTTAAATAATGTCTAGTGGTGAAAACAATGTCCAGTGATGGGGGACATTTAGTTCAAACAATTCCAGTAGCAGTGGACATTTAGTTGAACAATGACCAGCGAATATGAACAGTGGTACGACATTGGGAAATAAAAATATATGGTACCATATTGAAAAAGTCACTGTTTTTTAGTACCATTTAGGTAAATACCCCTTCTCTAATTTTAGTAAAATATAAATTTTAAAAACACAAAATATACTTATATTTCTAAATAAGTTGAGAAATGAAATTCCTTTTTTTTATATTTAGAAAAAAATAAAAATCTTTTTCTAGGATGAAAAGTAGTTCACAAACATGATAGGGAGTTTTTTTGTTTATAGAAAGTATATACTTTTGTGTTAGCTTCATTAAGAAAAAAATGAACTCGGCACATTTAGGTTCTCTCCGTAAGATCATATTGTGAAGTCAAAGTTACATTTTGAAGACGGCAGGCTGAGTAGGCCATATGAATTGTTCCAAGGTCACTCATTCATCATTCATGTACTCCCTTAGTTTTAAATTAAATAAATCTTTTTACTTGATTTTTGTTTGTCAAAGTTTGTAATCAAAATATGAAAAAAATACGGAGTAGATTATATTTCGATATAAATGTAATATCAATAGTAGACCTGGTAATCATGTCAATCGGTTCGGTTCCGGTTTGTATTTTTTCGGTTCGAGTCTCTTTCGGATATATGTTATAATTGGTTCGAGTCGGTTCGGTTCGGGTCAGTTCGACTCCGGGTTTATTTTGGGTTGACTGCTTTTTGGTTTCGGTTCGGGTTTGTATCAGTTCGGGTTTAGATCGAATCGGGTTTATATCGGTTAGGATTTGTATCGGTTCTAGTTTGTATCAGTTCGGGTTTATATCGATTCGGATTTATATCGGTTTATGTTTATATTAGTTCAGGTATGTTTTAAATATATACTAATAAATCAATAATATCACATAATAAATTTAGTCAACTTATGGCATACTCTGTACTTATTTTCTTATTAAACACGGACGTACATAAAAATATAACACCTACAGAATTGACTAGTTGTTTACATTTTAATTTTTCCCTTCGAAAGTTTTAGGTGTGACCTTTTTAGTTAACATTCTACTTCGTATTTCCTCTATTTCTATTTAACTATCCATTTCACTTTGTGTGTCAAATATTTGAATAAAAATTTATAAATGTTTAATGAATTAAAATATAGAAAGTGAAAGTTATTACCAAATTGTTGGTATCAAAAAACACTTTAAATGTATTATTCTAATTATTTTTTGCTAATATTTTTGAAGAGACAATATTGGTCAAACTTTGGAATTTGAAATTACCAGATCCCGTTTGAATTGATACTCATCTCAGCATGTTTTGTGCCCAATGGATCGTCTTTAAAACTTACTCCTTCCATCCCATAAAATCCATCCTTTTTGACAAAAGGCGTGTCTTTAAAATAAATAATTTTGGTATTATTTTCTAATTATGACTCATCTATCTTATATATCTCATCATACTCTATTATAAAATAAGGGGAAAATAAAAAAATAACACCAAAATTTCTTACTTTAATGGTGCGTCTTTTAAAAAAAGGTTTTATGGGGCGGAGGGGGTAAATTCCATTAATATATTGAAAAATCGTATCCGTAAAAAAATTATTTTGATAAGTGTATGATTCTCTAATGTGAAATTTAATTTGCACTAAATAGTACTAAAATATTTATCATTTCCCAATGTAGTACTTAAACTTTTTTTATTTTCCAAATAATACTTGAATAATGTCTAATCGTGGAAACAATGTCCAGTGATAGGGGACATTTACTTGAACAATGACCATCGAATATTGAACAGTGGTATTACATTGGGAAATAAAAATATATGATATTACATTGGGAAAATCACTATGTTTTAGTACTATTTAGGTAAATTCTCCTTCTCTAATTTTTGTAAAATAAAAGTTTTAAAAACACAAAATATACTTATATTTCTAAATAAGTTGAGAAATGAAATTCCTTTTTTTGTATTTAGAAAAAAATAAAAAATCTTTTTCTAGGATGAAAAGTAGTTCACAAACATGATAGGGAGTTTTTTCTTTATAGAAAGTAGATGATTTTGTGTTAGTTTCATAAAAAAAATATGGAGTAGATTATATTTCGATATACATGTAATATCAATAGTAGACCTGGTAATTGGGTCAATCGATTCGGTTTCAGTTCGAGTCTCTTTCGGATAAATATTATAATTGATTCGGGTCGGTTTAGCTCGATTCCAGGTTTATTTTGGTTTAACTACTTTTTGGTTCGGTTTTATATCGGTTCTGGTTTGTATCAGTTCGGGATTATATTGATTCGGGTTTATATCGGTTTATGTTTATATTACTTCAAATATGGTTTAAATATATACTACTAAATCAATAATATCACATAATAAATTTAGTCAACTTATGACATGCTCCATCGTTATTTTATTATTAAACACGGACGTATGTACATAAAAAATAACATACACTTACATAATTGACTAATTGTTAACAATCTAAAGTTTTCCCTCCGAAAGTTTTTGGCATGACCTTTTTAGTTAACATTCTACTTCGTACTTCCTCTATTTCTATTTAACTATCCATTTCACTCTGTATGTCAAATATTTGAATAACAATATATAAAAATATATAATGAATTAAAATATAGAGACTAAAAGTTATTACCAAATTGTTGGTATCAAAAAACACTTTAAATGTATTATTTTTAATATTTTTTGCTAATATTTTTTAAGAGACAATGTTGGTGAAACTTTAAGTTTGAAGACGATAAAATACAAACATACTTAAGTTAAAAAATACGGAGTAAAAGATTTGTACATGAAAGTAGTTGCACGATTTGCACCCATAATTTAAATATGTTTTTTTAGAAACACATCAACATATTTAAAATTATATCGGTAATTCTTTTTCTCTAAGTTCATTTGATAAATGAAATATTAATGAATTTGACCAATTTCGGGTCTAATTGGTTTCGGGTTTAACCGGTTCGGGTTTAATAAGTTCCGGTTAAATTGGATTCTGGTCTGAATACATTCGATTCGGTTTCGGTTTCGTTCGGATCATTTCGAGTGTTTGTTTCTATTTCGATTCTTCAGTTTTCGGGTCAATTCGGGTTCAATTCTGGGGTTATCGAGTGGGACAATTTTGCCAGGTCTAATCAATAGTTTATTTCGAAACATAGTTTTGAAATATTAACATTTTATGAAATACGTCTATGTATAAATTAATGGTGTAACTGCTATACTAGATATTGTCAAAAATCAAATAAGAAGATTAAATCTCGATGGAGGGATTATTTACGTAACGTTCCCCTCTTGGTAAGAGAGATCTCCTCCCAATACGAATTGACAGGTTGGACTCGTCGATTTGCTCGACCACCACTAAGATTTACTTCTTTTTGAAAAGGTTTTGTGTTTAAGTCACTGTAGAGGCAAAATGGAAGAAATTTCCGTTAATGAATCTCTAGCCCTCGGATTAGTTATTTCGTTGGATCAATTACAGAAGTCTCACTTCCAACAACACATTAGAATTAGAGTAGAAGAAGACATTCCAAGATGAGACAATCCCCCCCTCGATTTGTATATACCGCAAACACCACTCAACAGTAGATAGTGCAAAGAGCAACATGTATAATAGTAAGTATACACACATTCGTCGGGGACACGTACCATTAAACAATTTACAATTGAGATGATCAAAATTGACTATATAAAGTCAAAGGATAATTTAACGGATCTGCTAACCAAAGAGTTAACAATTGAGTTGCACGAGAATTAAGTTGGTCGCTAGAATGAGCTTGAAGCCCTGGTGCAATGGTATATGTAATACCTTATAAGGGACATGTATAAAAGTAGAGATACTTACCTTTTCTTTGTAGATTTTAAACCGTGGGACTTTGTCGGCCCAAAATTAATTTTTCATTCGTATGGGAGTTTTTGGAATTTTTGAGAAATTATTAGGCATTTAGTGACCTACTTTTGACAAAATTATCTATGAGGTCCACTAAAGATTTGACCGTTAATTAATGGACGACTATTCTACTAAGTGGTAAGAACGTTTTGATATATTATACGCCAAATATGGATAACGGGTGAATCAAAAATTCATTTTGAAACTAAACCCGTTGAGTAGAAGAAAATTGTTGAGTT